CTGCATTCCCAACAAGATGCTTTCACTGTACATGCAAATACTTCCATGTCAGCTGAAACTGTTTACTCTCAGGAGTCTATATAAAAGCAAAATATAGAGTTAGGTACCACACTGATTTTATGCCACCCTTGAAGATCACCCCATCTCTTCAGTTACTACCAGCAGCTCAGAAAGGCTCATGCTCCTAAACATTTATGGAGATTCTCAATCATCCAGGTCATGGTTGTTCCAAAAGTGCTTTCCCAAAAGGCAACTGGACTTTCTTGGTTTTTTTTTTTCCTTTGAAAATGTTTCGCTTCTCATACAAGAAGATTCTTCAGTTAGAACTTCCTGGATGAGAAACAAAAAAGTTTTCAAAGAAAAAAAAACTAAGAAAGTCCAGTTGCCTTTTGGAAAAGCATCTTTGGATCATAAAAAAATTCCGTTCTTGAAAACATAGAAGAAACGTGATTCAAAGAATTTCCTAGTTTCCTGCATATCTAGAGATGACAATGAACTTGGCCAAGCTCGGGATTGGAAAACAATGTGAAGACCTCATGACATCTTGTTTGAAAGAAAGAGTTGAAGGTCCCCAATGATTCTCCCACTTGGAACAGAAAAAAGAGGGCTCTTCCAGCTCCCACTGACACCTGCTGATCCTCACTCTCAGCCCTTTAGTTTACAAACACCAGATGTCCTAGTATTAGGAAGAGAATTGCTTCAGAGATCAGATGGCTGGGAAGATATTCTCTTCTGTTTGAAAGCAGTGGTGTTGTTGATCAGTATTGTGGTGATCAAAATTTTTGCATTGAAATTGCTGAATTAAAGAGAATAAATGAGTGGTAATAACATGTGTTATGTTTGCTGTTCCTTGTGGCATTGAAGAGGCAGCAGGTGAAACACAACTCTCTTTATTGCAAAGGCAAAACTGAAACTGAAAAACACATGCTCCACCTTTTCATACACTCAGCTCAGGAGGCAGAAACCAATCAGATTACAGTATTCTCCCACTTAAATGCATATTAACTAGTCTGCAGTGTAGACAGATAGTCTGGCTGGCAAACCATGTGGTCAGCTAACCATTCCTACACAGACTCCAGCAACCTGTTTCATAAGTTTAACTCAATACATTACAACATGTAATTGTCCATAGCTCGGGAGAGGCATGACAGAAACCACAAGGTAGGCTGCAAGGGGTTTGCTAAATGTTTCTCTCTAAACATGCTTCTAAATGTACTTGGCAAGCAACAACCTTGTAGCAACTTCTGTTTTTTACCTACTTTCCTATAAATGGCTGTTTTCTGCTTGTGTTAACAAAATACAATAAAAAGGCATGCTGAATAAATCATTTAGGGCTCTTCCAGCTTAATGGGAAGACCCACTTTTTCCAGATCTGAATAAAAGTGTGACTCAGAAAGAATTGAACTCTGCCCCTTTGTTCCTGCTGGGCCAGACTGAGATTTCCTGTTTGACAATATTTCTACACTACAATCCCTAATTGGTTTGACACCTCAGTTTTGACAAGAGAGGTTATCTCATCTGGGGGTTCCTTGGTGATCTCTGGGCTTGGTGGTTTTCTTGCAGACATTTCATTATCACGCTAGATAACATAATCAGTGCTAGCCAGTACTGGCACTGATGATATTACCTAATTTGGTAATGAAACTTGGTAATGAAATCCACCAAGCTCAGAAAGCACTAAGGATCCCAAAGTTCAACCCTGTGATAAAAGTATTGTCTTCTATCATTATCTCAGAGAATATCCAATGCCCAATATATGAAACAGTCTTAGGGTAGCCTTGTACCCACACAATAGCAAGGGGCGGGGAACTGGGGATTGCAGACAGTTTTTTTAAGTGTGCCCCAATGGCACATTATGCATGTCCATATATTGCAAACCCACCCACACTGACAGAACACTGCACTACAGAAGTAATTATCCTGTAGCACATAAAATCAGCTGTGTCAGGACGTTATTCAAATGGGTCAACTCCCATTGCAGCACAGGCAGAGACAAAATCAAAGAGAAAAAATGACTATATTACAGCTTTAGGTGCAATGGCTAGCCTATGGAATTTGTGAGACGGTATAGTAGACCTCATCAGCCTCACAGAGACTCACACTCTGGTGTAACAACAACGCCAGCCACACAGACAACCTTTCCTTACATCAATAGGGTTTCTGAGGCTACGGCATGGCTGCTGGCCCCCTACAATGTGAGCATTGCCCATAGACCTGAAAAGACCCTAAGAACAAAGATCATGCATCCCAAAGAGCCGCTCCCCAACGAAGAGAGATCCTCTGTAGTTTACAGAATTAATTGCAAAAACTGTCCTTGCAATTACATTGGGGAAACAACTAAAAGACTTAGGACTAGGGTCCATGAACATGAATTAGCAATTAAAAGGCAAGAGCAGCGCTCACAAGTGTGGGCCCATATGGCCAGCCTTGGCCATATGTTCGATCTGGTCAATGTGGAGGCTATATCCCATGAGACCACCAAGGGTGGCTGCTTACTCAAAGAAGCCTGGCTCTTTCCATCAACCAGCATATAGACCTCCTTACTGGCTTACCACCTTAGAAGGTGGGAGAGACAGCACTGCGATCCACGGAGGAGACATTCAGCCCATCCTTGGTGGGGCAATAGAACTACAAATGAGGCAACGGTGATCCCCAGAGAAGAAGACGACCCGGCAAAAGGGGAGGGAGACCAGAAATGGAAACAATGGGATAGCCCTTTGCAGGATTGTGGCGATAAAGCTACAGGTGAGGCGACGATGACTTCCATGGGAGGAGGTGATGGACCAATGGCGCGTCACGGCCATGAGATGGAGATAGATGCGCAGAAGCAACCTGGAATGAGGGGGGGGAAGGCAGGGAGCAGGAACGCCCAAATAGCCGTTCTTCGCAGGACTGGGGCAAGGGAGTTATGGGCGAGACAACAGCGACCATGGGGGTGGGAGAGGATGATGGCCCGACAGAGCCCCCGAATCGCAGTTTGAGTAATAACAACCAAGATCACTCCAAAACAGGAGGGGAGGGAGACAAGGTGCAGAGACGGCTGGACAGCCACCCCCCAGGGGCCTGCATGTGCACCACAAGAGCGATTAAAGATCAGAAGACAACCATCGGGGCCACAGGCAGATTGCCAGGTGTAGAGCAACTCAGCGCATTACAGACAAGCACAATCAATGGGCCACTGATGTGCTCGAGAAGCTGGGTGCAGAGGCAAGCGGCTATATAAGCCATCTCCCAGATATCCTTTTATTCCAACTCTGACGACATCAGCAGTTTGGCCGATGAAAGCTTAGTGACTTTTTATCTACAGGCTTGTTTACATTAAACAGTCTTGTTTACTTTTATCCTGGTGTTCGCTTTTCTTTTAATTTTGTATATATGTATGTATGTATGTACGTACGTACGTACGTACCTATCTATCTATCTATCTATCTATCTATCTATCTATCTATCTATCTATCTATCTATCTAAGGATATATACAGTGGGGCAAAAAAGTATTTAGTCAGCCACCAATTGTGCAAGTTCTCCCACTTAAAAAAATGAGAGAGGCCTGTAATTGTCATCATAGGTACACCTCAACTATGAGAGACAAAATGAGAAAACAAATCCAGACAATCACATTGTCTGATCTGGAAAGAATTTATTTGCAAATTATGGTGGAAAATAAGTATTTGGTCAATATCAAAAGTTCATCTCAATACTTCGTTATATATCCTTTGTTGGCAACGTCAGAGGTCAAACGTTTTCTGTAAGTCTTCACAAGGTTGGCACACACTGTTGCTGGTATGTTGGCCCATTCCTCCATGCAGATCTCCTCTAGAGCAGTGATGTTTTGGGGCTGTCGCTGGGCAACACGGACTTTCAACTCCCTCCAAAGGTTTCCTATGGGGTTGAGATCTGGAGACTGGCTAGGTCACTCCAGGACCTTGAAATGCTTCTTACGAAGCCACTTCTTCATTGCCCAGGCAGTGTGTTTGGGATCATTGTCATGCTGAAAGACCCAGCCACATTTCATCTCCAATGCCCTTGCTGATGGCCCCATTCATTCTTTTCTGTACACGGATCAGTCGTCCTTGTCCCTTTGCAGAGAAACAGCCCCAAAGCATGATGTTGCCCCCCCCCATGCTTCACAGTAGATATGGTGTTCTTTGGATGCAACTCAGCATTCTCTCTCCGCCAAACACGACGAGTTGTGTTTCTACCAAACAGTTCTACTTTGGTTTCATCTGACCATAGGACATTCTCCCAATCCTCTTCTGGATCATCCAAATGCTCTCTAGCAAACTTCAGACGGGCCCGGACATGTACTGGCTTAAGCAGGGGGACACGTCTGGCACTGCAGGATCTGAGTCCCTGGCGGCGTAGTGTGTTACTGATGGTTGCCTTTGTTACGTTGGTCCCAGCTCTCTGCAGGTCATTCACTAGGTCCCCCCGTGTGGTTCTGGGATTTTTGCTCACCGTTCTTGTGATCATGTTGACCCCACGGGGTGAGATCTTGCATGGAGCCCCAGATCGAGGGAGATTATCAGTGGTCTTGTATGTCTTCCATTTTCTAATTATTATTCTAATTATTATTCTAATTATTGCTCCCACAGTTGATTTCTTCACACCAAGCTGCTTGCCTATTGCAGATTCAGTCTTCCCAGCCTGGTGCAGGTCTACAGTTTTGTTTCTGGTGTCCTTCGACAGCTCTTTGGACTTCACCATAGTGGAGTTTGGAGTGTGACTGTTTGAGGTTGTGGACAGGAGGAACTCATTATGCACCCTGGACATATCTAGCTTTCTAAGGGGAATCTTGATTCCCTCCTGCTGCAAGTGTATCCCCACCCTAGTTTCCCCTGTTCTGAAGCATTTCCATTCTATTTAAGCAACATTCAACATCATCATTCCTGTACACCCTCCCACACAAGGGGAACTTTAAACATTCATGTGACAAAGAAAGAAAATAGTTGGCGGCAGCAAGCAATGGAGCAAGGAGAACTGAATGAGAGAATTACTTACGGGTAATAGGAATAAGAATAGTAGTTCCTCCTGGCAAGCGTGCAAACAAAGAGAAAAGCAGATATTGCATAAGCAGTTGTTTTTTTCTTGGCAGATAATAAAAGAAAAAATGAGTTATTTGGACCAGGCTATTGCCCATGCAAAGAGGTAGAGGAAGGGGTGCTGGTGGGGGAGGGAGGGAGGGAGGGAGGGAGAGAGAGGGGGGGGGAAAGGGAAGAAATATTGAGAGGGGGCTAGGTAGAGATGGCAACTTATAACCCTAATTTTTAAAAAAACTCTTATAAGAACTTTGGATCCTTTGCAAGACTGAGGGAAGGAGGGAGGAAGAGAAGCGAAGGGAAGGAAAGGGAAGGGAAAGGAAGGAGGGAGACAGGAAGGGAGGGAGGGAGGAAGAGAGAAGCCTGGCTATCTCAGCTTTTATCCCCCCCTCAATTTCAGCAGACAGCTCTTAAAAGATAATTCCCCCCACTTGACCAGCAATTCAGATTCCTTATTCCTCAATAAACTTTCCATCTTTTTGGTTGTCTTAAAACTCAAGGACAGCATCTCATTTCAGACAAGCTTAGCCCATCAAGCAGCAATCAAAAATCAGATGACCTGGAATATCAGAGATATATAATGCTATAGAACAGTGTTTTCTAACTTTGGCAACTTTAAGATGGGTTGGCTGTGGAATTCTGGGAGTTGAAATCCACTCATCTTAAAGTTGCCAAGGTTGGAAAACACTGCCTTAGAAAGTGAATGGCAATAATCCCTGCTGACCTGGAAACCCTTCCTGTTCATTGCATTTAGGCAATCCATACTTCTTACCTTTAAAAAAGCTGGAACCATGAACCAAGGTGTACCTGGACATAGCAACAGATAAGCCCTTGGAGTTCTCCCTAACAGCACCCTTGAATGTTGGGGGCTTGGCACTGCTTCCATTGACTACATAATAGGAAACATGAAAACAGCAACCTAAACCTTCATATATATTTAGCAGGGCTAGGAAAAACACAGCCAGCCAGCAAACCCAAACGGGAAATCATTCCATCTGTATGATGCTGGCAGGATCATCCTAGCCATTGTAGCCTCATGTGTCCTCTGTGAGAAAATTAAGTACAGCTACAGACATCCGAAAGATTGATCATCCTGCTCTAAAGTATAGTAAAATGACTACAAGTGGCAGCTTTTGCATGAGATGCAACCTCCCAATTAGTTAACCAAGAATGTGTATCTTTCAACTCTCCCGATTCCTTTAGCATACCTAGTTAAAAAAGCAGTCTTGGAGGAATTGACAGAAACCAGCCAAACCTGCCATACAGAGGGAATCTGATTTCTAGAAATTCATACAAACAAAACCCAAAAGCATGTGCCTTTGCTTATTATAATTCATGACCCAGGAACAGCCAGAACATCCTCGTTTCCTTCCCACAACAATTTCATAAATATCCGTCTTTTGCTGCAAAATAAGTAGCAATTCAGCCATGGAATCACTCTTGAATCGCTAGTAATACTTGGTTCATTCTATCAAATAAATACCTAGAAATAAAGTACATGGTGCAAACTAGATATAAAATTGTGCTGGTAAAAGGGTTGGGAAGATAGCCACTTGAAGGCCTTGAATTCAAGAAGAGTGCATAAAAGCAACTTCATATCAACATAGTAATTCTGAGGGCTCTGCCACTATTTCCCTTGAATACACTTTTCCATTTAATTTCCATTCCTCATGCTCATTCTATGACATAACAGAATAACAGAGTTGGAAGGGACCTTGGAGGTCTTCTAGTCCAACCCCTTGCTCAAGCAGGAAATCCTATACCATTTCACACAAATGGCTATCCAGTTTCTTTTTAAAAGCCTCCAGTGATGGAGTACCCACAACTTCTGAAGGCAAGCCGTTCCACTGGTTTATTTTTTCACTGTCAGGAAATTTCTCTTTAGTTCTAGGTTGGTTCTTTCCTTGGTTAGCTCCCATCCATTGTTTCTTGTCTTGCCTTCAGGTATTTTGGAGAATAGGTTGACCCCTCTTCTTTGTGTCAGCCCCTTAAATATTGGAATACTGCTATCATGTCACCCCTAGTCCTTCTTTTCACTAGACTAGACTTACCCAATTCTTGCAACTGTTCATATGTTTTAGCCTCCATCTCCCAATCATCTTTGTTGCTCTTCTCTGCACTCTTTCCAGAGTTTCAATCTTTGGTGACCAAAACGGGATGCAGTATTCCAAGTGTAGCCTTGCCAAGGCCTTATAAAGTGGTATTAACACTTCACATGATCTTGATGTGAATGCAGCCTAGTATTGCATTGGCTTTTTTGATGGCTGCAGCCCTCAAAAAACCACTAGGACTCCAAGATAAAACATAAAACCGGCCAATGAAGCTATCTAGGGATCCAGAGGTACAGCTAACCCCTACCCTTCTGACCCACTTCACACCCCATCCCAGGGGAGAATAAAATAAAATGACAGTACATGTTTATGTTTGTGGTCCATCCTCTCCTATCAATGCTTCTCCCACTAAGGCCCTTCCTCTTTCCTCATAATTAATTTCCAGGGGTGATGCTCTAATTTGGGGGCTTAACATGACAAGATAAAACCCATATTTGATAAATGTGGCTTCTGAGCAGAAATCCCAGTTGCCATTTGGAAATAGGAAGCTAACACACTTTGTTAAAGGTGCACCAGGATTGAAGGTTCATTATGTTTGAAGATCTGGACACCTTTGTTTTTATACTTGCCAAAATTAAAATTAAAAACTGGAATGGCTTTTCTGGGGACAATATATAAGTCATTGTGTATAAGTCATATATAGAATTGGAAGTTGAGGAACAAAATAATAACATAACTTGAAGTGATCACAGCAATGGAATACAAAACAATTATTTTCTCCTACAATAATTGTGGATGAAAATGTCAGCAAATATTGTGAGGAACTTTGAAGAAAAAAAAAGATTACATTAAGATCAACATTCCAAAGTCTGATAATAATCAAAGCAGCACTGTATTGTGAAAATTGGAATCCAAGACATTAGGAGACCACTGGAGTGGGAAGAAAACTGATGGAGGAAAACAAAAGAAAACCCACTTTCTTCTTCAACTGTTAGCTGCAGAGTTTTCTATTTCCCAGAATGCCATGCAGTATCCAACTTAATATCAATTTGTTTGGACACTATGAGCAATTAAAATGTCTGTGTTTGTTCCCAAAGCCCACAACTGGGAATAGAACAAAAAAACAAATATGGGCCCAGAAAACCTTTTTTAAAAATGAATCAAATCTCTCCTCAAATACAAGACAGATGCCATGTGATCTGGTGCAGCACCAAGCCAAAAGAACAAAGAGACATATCTCATTCACACAAGGTTCAGATTTAGACTTTGATCTGAGAAATCTCATAGTATGTATTTTTCCCCATCCTCCTTCTCTCTATCATATTAAGACTTAAAAGGTGGCATCATTCTGGAAAATGGCAAAGAAGCACACAAAATATTTATTGACAGTTTGGCAGACAATCCCAACACATTCCAAGCATGTATTTGTTCCTCATCAAGAGAAACAAACCAAAATGCATTAATGTTCCTCTACTACATGAAATATCATCTGGTTTCTATGCTTCTATATAATCTGTTTCTGTGCACTATGACTAGAGCAGCTGTTCCCATCTAGTCACCCTTAAACCCATGGGACCCAATTTTATTTTTTAAAATAAACATAGACCTCTGTTCTTCTTCTCTTTCTGTCTCTCTCTTTAGTTTTTCCCTGATCTTCCCAGCCATATTTAGCTACATAAAAATAACAAACTTTTTATATTTACTTCAGTCTTCCTCAAACTGGATCTCCTCAGATGTTCTGGCCAATAGTTCCCTTGTCCAGTGTCCTTGGACACTGGATAGTCTGTGTTAAACTTTAGTATTTGTAGGACTAAACAACGGACAAGATGTAATTTAAGGGAGGCTGATCTAACAGAACTTTCCCTGGCAACATTAATCTTTTTCTTGTGATTATCTAGCCTAGGTATGTAGACTGAGAAGATTATGGACTTCTTAATTCAGGTATTTCAACAAGTATTTTAACCATAAAACACATTCAAACAGTTGAGCCAACCTATTGAGATGAAATGAACCCAACTGAGATGAAATGAACCCAATTGGATATACAGACAAAGAGTTCATGTAACACATACAAACAACAGCTTTTTCACTAACATCTATTTAGTGGCCTTGATTGTGTTTGTGCCCCTGGCTATAACAAATAGTATAGCATTACTATCTGATTTTCTTCAGTCATTAATTGGCATTTGTTGGATGTTCAATCAAAGTGGACACAAAAAGAAGAGAGGTGTGCTGATTTATGGTAGCAAAGAATCAGGAGCATGGTAGTACCTTTTCTGACTAACAAATTGTATTAAAAGGCATAAGCTTTCATGCTAATTAGACATGGTACTACCATAATCCTAATTTTCAGTCAAAGAGTGTGCTTGTTACTCTCACTCCAGAATCTTGTGAATACACGAGACTCCAGAGAAAGGCCAGAACATAATCAGTCCCATAATATTTGAATTTCACACCATATCGTTATCCATTTAAGATTAAATCTTAACCTTCTGGTTAGTTCCAACTGGCTCCAAAATAACGAATTTTCAAGTTTCAAGAATGTGATCCAGTTCCATTCCAATCCATTTGTTTAGAAGGAAAAAGACTGAATGGCAGTCCACCACATCCAATATAATATACAGCAGGGAGCAATCCTTCGGAATTTTGTATGTGTGCAACTCTGTCTATCTCTGTACACTCCTAAGAGATTCCCAACAACCTGAAAAATTGGTTTTATTGACAACTGGTGGGCATATGACCAGCTTTCCTGACAAACTTTGATCAACAATATAGAGCTGTCTGCAAGATCTACAATAAGAATTTTTTTAGTTCAATAGCAACCCAAGGCAGCATCAGGGACTGCATCTTGGCGATGCTAGCGGCTATCCTCTGGACAGCAAAAAGTTTAAGCAAAAAGATGACATTGTTTTTTTTACTGAAGCTCACTGCTCAAAACCTT